ACTTTATTTATTTATTTATTTATTTATTTATTTTTTACTGTTAATTGTTTTGATCTGTTATATATTTATTTTCTGCCCTCTTGTGGTCAAAAGGCAGAACTACAAACTAATCAATCATCGTCAAAACAAACATAAAACACCTTTTAGTAAAACTGAAACTAAAATATGTTGTTGTAAATAATAAACAATCATTCTGAGTGAATAATTTGCTTTAATGTATTTATTTAATCTTTTACAATATGCTTGAAATTTAGCTGTTTGTGTGAACAAGCACTGAAACATGTTGCTTCACTGCCCTCTTGTGTAAAAAATTTGAAACTACAAATGAATAACTACAAACTAATTATTTTTAGAGTAAAAATAGCAATCGAGCATTTTCCTGAAAATATATTTACTTTCAGCTGTAACAGAGTAACTTAGTTATAATCTGTGTTGCAACTTTTCGACTTTTTCCAGTTAGTTTGTTTTTGTACCATTACTGTAACATGGTTGTGCTCTACTTGCTGCTTTATTTAGCATTATTGTGTTTGATTTACAAAATAACGAATGCACTCTAAGAGTTGTTTTATCTTCTATTCCTGGCAGTTTTTTGATCGTCTCACGTTGTTCGGCATGCCAGCCAAACATCAGCCAGACTTCATCTACTTACGACACGTCCCCTTGAGGAAGGTGCATCTCTTCACCATCATCCAGCTCAGCTGTCTGGTTCTGCTGTGGGTCATCAAGACCTCGAGGGCTGCCATTGTCTTCCCGATGATGGTGAGTGATTATTGTTGTGACATCACTGTGTACAAGAGCACAAACAGTGTAAAAGTGTGAGCAGGTTTATGATGAGAAAAGTGTTGAGGTTCTTTCTGTTACATTTGATTAGGTTTAACGCGCATTCACTGGTTATGTAACACAGGGTTTTAGGTTAATTTTAAATAAATCTCTTCTATATCCAGATGTTTCCGCCACCTTCATACCAATATCTAAGCTTTCCTTTAATCCAAAAATCCACACCCATCCGTTTGATGGGTAAAAATAAAAATCATTCCAGGAAATACCCTAAATACTCCAGTCTAAGTTTAGAGTAAAGTAGTGCTTAAACTTTTTTTTCCCAATGTAGAATTATATAGAAATATTTTTTTAGGAAAAATACTCTAAAGTCAAATTAAACCCTGCACAACAGTACAAAACGCAGATGTCCTCACACACTCCTCCCCTTTCACCTTCATTATGTCTGCCTTTGGTAAAACCTCAGAGGGGTCAAAGCTGTCCGGTCTACTGAGAAAGAGTTCCAACTGAACAACTTCAGAATTCCCCTTTTCTTTCTTATTTTACCTCTCAAGGCATGGTCTACTCTACATTAACTACAAAGGACCTCTTTTTTTTTGCTTCTAATCACAACACAGATTTTAAACTAGCTTTGATTTCCCTATTCTCTTAATTTTAAATATTGTTTTGTTTTTGCTCTGTAATTCATTTAGTTTCAAATAAAGTGTCAATAAAACGAAGCTGAGTCACAGCAGACAGTTTTTCAATAGTTTTTTTCTACTTTAACATATAGTTTTTAGTGTAGGGCTACACATAATTTAGGTTTCTCGTTACATTTTGGTGTAACTCACACTTTTCACTTTTTCTGCATAAAAAACCCCAAACTTGTTAAAACAGCTCATGTCAGTCAAAAGTTCTGTTTCATATCACTATTTATCTTTTTAATAATAAACTCGTCGATACTTGGCACAAAAAGTAAGGATATTTGTGTTTGGTTGATTATTATCACTATTTTTTTGTAACAATGCTTCTTGGCAATAAATCTTTTAGTGGGCACCTGATTGGCTGCACCTGCACTGCAAAAACTGTCCATCTAACCAAGTTTTAAAATCTTATATCCAGCCAAAAATCCTTTTTGATCTTGTTTGGACACAGATTTACTAAACAAGAACTGATTGTGTAAGAATAATAATCTTGTTTTCAGAATGTGTAAGATTATTTGTCTTGTTAGTCTGAAAATTTTGACTCAAATTCAGTCAAAAATTTCTGCCAATGGAGTAAGAAAATTTTACTTGGTAAGATTCTTGAAATACTTGATTTGACTCAGTTTTTTCTTATTTCAAGAWTCTTACCAAGTAAAATTTTCTTACTCCAYTGGCAGAAATTTTTGACTGAATTTGAGTCAAATTTTCAGACTAACAAGACAAATAATCTTACACATTCTGAAAACAAGATTATTATTCTTACACAATCCGTTCTTGTTTAGTAAATCAGTCTCAAAACAAGATCAAAAAGACTTTTTGGCTGGATATAAGATTTTTAATTATGGTTAGATAGACATTTTTTGCAGTGTGAGGGTATCCGAAGCTCAAAACAAATGTCAATAGCAACAGCAAAATTAGCAGAGAAGATTCGGTACAAGCCATATGCATCCCACAAATGCATGTTCCTTACAAATGCGGCACCATTTAAAAGGGAAATTAACAGACTTCCCAGTGGTATAAGATTAATTGCCAAGAAGCATTGTTACAACATATACATTATCCAATAAACATAAATTTCCTTCTTTTTTGTGTTTAGCTGCAAAGCACATCCCTGTTTGTGGATTTTGTTTGCTTTCTTTCTGCAGGTGTTGGCTCTGGTGTTCATCAGGAAACTAATGGACTGTATTTTCACCAAAAGAGAGTTGAGCTGGCTGGATGATCTCATGCCAGAGAGCAAGAAGAAAAAGCTTGAAGATGCAGAGGAGGTGATGCTCAACCCCGTAACCCAACACTGCGTTCATGTGCAGATGGGTTGCATTCAGTTTGTTTAAATCTTACCCATCCTTCGTCTTCAGGAAGAAGAGCAGAGCATACTCGCAGAGGATGAAGGAGTAGTGCAGCTGCCGTTAGGCGGGTATACGTAAGTAACTCTGCAAGGACAGAATCTATTTAGTGAATGAAATTGTAGTTTTGTGCATAATAAACTATATTCTGGTTTTTGTTTTTTACAGAGGAATCCCAGTTATCAACATCACAGATGAGATGTCAAAAGGTTCATTTGGAAATACCTGGAACGCCAGTGATTAGGAAAAAAAAACTTAGTCATTTGATAAAAGTGTCATCAAAACACAAAAATCTTTTTAAGCACAAAATTAGTTTGACAACAATATAACACTTACCAGCACCTTTAGAGTTAAATAACTAATTATGCATATTTCTTTACATTAAAAAACAGAAGAAAATGTGCTTTTTTGTTATTTGATTTAGTTTATTCAAATGCTACATTAAATTTGCACAATTTTATACATATATAAATATAATGAAATAAGCCATTCTACTAAAAAGTTTTTTTTTTATTATTGACTGTATTTCATCTGTTTGCTTTGCTGTAAGAATATTTGTCAGCATCAAGTGCAAAGGTTTTAGAAATAGGTCATTGCATAATATTTACAGCACTTTATACCTGCTAGTTTTACATCTTCTTGGTATTTTTTTTTATCATTCTAGAATATCATTGAGCAATACAAGAGGAAGAAATAACACATCGTGTTGAGTATTTTCACTGTTTCCTCTGAGTGTCAGGAAACAAGTCAGCATTCTGAATTTTCATTCCTTCAAACTTTTGTCTTGCGAATCTGCGTGCGAGTGGATAAATGTGAAACCCGACCGCTCGTAACTGATCTTCTCGAGAACGATTTGCTCCAACTTCTGTCGTGCTGTTACTCTGAATTGTTCTGAATCCAGACGGGTTTTTAAATGTGACCCACCGAAGCACAAATCTCTGATGTCTGACAGTAAAATAGGAAATATATTGCACTATTTAAAAGCCAAATGCAATAGCCCTTTCTGCCAAAAGAAAATGACCATGTTTATGTAAGAAACTATTTAAGTATTTATTAATATTTTTGTGGTGTTTTTATTAATTTTGTGTTCSATTCTGAAGATGTAACCAATAAAACTTGCAGCATTTTGCTTTCTGTGGCAGTGTACTGCTGACAGTGTTAGTATATTTGTTTACAATCTACCATGTCAATAATCACAAAGTATTTTAAAGTGGTTCAAACAATATTTTAAGGTTGCTACAATTTCGAAAGGCAAAAAAAGTTTGTTTATGGAAAGACAAATTTTAAGTCTTTAGTAATATTTTTAATAAGCATTTGATGTCAATGTGATATTCTTAAAACATTTTTATGAGCGTTATTGTTCGTGCTGTTTATTTGAATAATCATGCATATGTTTGTTTAAARTCTGTTAGCTGAGTGAATAAAAATCTACAAACCTGCAAAAATCAAAGCAATAAGGATGACACTTTTTTTTCTCAGCTTTTCACATTTATATTTAGTGTTTAATTAAAGTGGATTACAGTGAATAACAGGAGGAAACATTCAGACAACTTAATTTTAAGACGTTAGCCCTTTCACAGTCTTTGTTCCACCAGTGGGCAAAAACCACACAGGTTCTGCCTTTAGACATTTCCAGATGATTCTAGACGCTACCGGGGGCTATTATTTATTTTTTTAAATCAGGGTGTTAAACAACTTCCTTCGGCTCTTACCTTTAACTTGACACCCAAAAATGGCGTCAAAAGGCTTTTAAGGAATTTCAGGGATGACTGTTAAAAAGCCTAACCCTTTAAAAAACAGTCAGAAAATTCACATTTTTTAGAACCGAAATGTTTATTGGGCATTTAAACAAAATCCAATTTTTTTTTTTTTTGCCCCATCACTTTGTTTATGATATATTTTTTTTGTATCAAATCTGACACTGGGCTGATTTGGTAACATTTTACTCACAACAAAGTTAAATTAAGAAAAAAAAAAAAACAGTTTTGCCCATAACTTTTAACAAGTTTAGTACACTCTAGGAAGTTTACTTCTTTGTTATTTTTTTTTACAATGAGCTTTTTACAGCCATTTATTTCACTTCGTGGTAGGCACAAATACAGTTTCTGTCCTTGTTCAGGCACAGATGTACCTTACACTTAAAAAATGCCATCTATTATCATTTTGATGACATTTTCTTACTTTCTTTTTGTCTCTCTTCTTCCTCAATTTCCTTTGACATCGAACACGTAAATAATTAGTCAGTACAGCATAGAGATTATAATTTCAAAGGAAACCACTTTGAAAATAGCCAAAATGTGTTTTCAAATGGCATTTCAGTACTTAAGCAATCATCCAAAATAGTGTGTGTTGTATTGTGGCAAGAATACTATTGATTAAATTACTAAAATGTCACATGACAATTGCCTATATGCCACAGACATCCGGCCCAGCACTGGATGCCACTCCCAGCACTTCTGGTTCATGGCAAACACAGTGTTAGCGAAATAATTTTTTCACCCGACAACGACTCTTAATGATCTTCACAGTACAGAATTAGCATTTAACATGTACCAACATTAACACAGGAGACGTACAGGTCCACCCAAGTGGAAAAAAAATCACTCCAAAGTGGATTAAAGCCATAAAAACAAAGGAAAGACGTTCGTGTTTATGGTTCCATAATTTAGTTTTTTCGCAAATCTGTGGCTGCTTGATCCGTGAATTTTTCACRTAGAGCTGTGACATTTATATTGTTGGAAAGAGCAGAGTCTGGGCTTTAAATTGATACTTGTATGGTTTGGATCGTTTTCCCCGACGTTAGTGAACTGAAAACGTAATGATTATAAGGCGGCGCTCGTCACTCGGCTTCGCTGTAATATACACTCTAACAAGTTTTTACTTTTGCATGAAACTCATGACAAAATCGCAGAAAAACATTTCATATAACACAAACACGCACACACACACACACACACCTGCTGTGTTAGCTTCCTGCTAGCTGTCCACTGGAGGACTCTCTCCAGACTGGACTGGACTGGACTGAGCAACAGTGTTGCCAGGTGGGAAATGTTGAATTATCGTATCAGCAGCTCAAAAT